AGAGGTTTATACGAGAGACTGATTCAGCACTGTTACATTGCACCAGCTCAGGAATTGGCCCTGGAGGCAGCTCAGACTCCAACATTTTCAGACCCCACAATAGTCAAGGTCTGCTCTTGGCCACGTTTAACACTGCTGTGGAAACGCTGGTTGTAAAATCTTTAAACTCCAATACTAATGCATTTCTTAATGACAGCCTGAAAGAACAGGAAAAAAGCTGGTAAATGCTAACAGTCCCCCTGGCATTAAAGCACTGTAGATAAAACTGCTTTTTGCCAAGTTTGACCATCTAGACAGTCCACCACTGCTCCTCTTTCCTCTCAGCACCTACTGTATCCACAGCATCTTACCTGTGGTGACACTGTTGGGTAGAAATTTTGCTAAAACATGGGATCTGGGGTTTTCAGAGAAGACAACAGGATATGGGGATAAAATCCCTTTAACAAGAGCCTTTTTGGTATGTGCTGCTTCTCACAAAGCTTCCCCTTGGGAAGGCACTTCCTTGAAATAAAACCACTTTGCAAAAGGTGTTACTGCTCCTCATTAAGTGTCTTTTGGGTTATTCAATGTAAATTTGATGCTGAACAGGAGAGGTTCTTGGAGACACAACCTCCTACCAACCCCTGACCACAAGGCTTTCTCCAAGGACCACCTGATGTGATGAAAGGAGCAGTGCTGTTTGTTTTCTTCTCCTATGCATACAATGGTAAGATTGAATATTTGGCTCTGGTTTAGCTGCTGCACGAGTAAACAGCCTGGACATTTAATTACTGCAGCACATTGACCTGGAAAGCAACATGAGTTGTCTTCCTTGTTGATAAACAACCAACTTAGCAATAAAAAGCACTAGAGAGGAGCGGGGAAGCAGGGGACAAGGACTGGGAAGTAACAGTGAATTTGCCTCTGTACCACCAAGCACTTCCAAAGCAATCAAAAAACCAGCAACAGAGCCCCTACCTCCCCATCAGCCCCTATAGCACTGCTGTACCTGACTCACAGCCTTGCTTCCCCCTTCTTTCCAGGAAAAACACCTCTTGGATTCACACAACACTTCACAAACTCACCAAACACTAGGACCCAAAAAAAAAAAAAAAAAAGAGAGACTTGATGCCCCCATCCTCTTATAGCCATGATGGGCATGTTCCTCAGCTGGCATAAATCTGCCTAACGAGTGACTTTGGCGCACAGCTTCACCTGGGGGATCTCCAAAGCCTTTGCAAAGGAAGAGCCAACCGGTCCACCACCAGCTGGGTGGTGGTTGTAGTTCAGGCAGAGCTCGGCTGGCAGCTGAGCTGCCACACAAGTTGTGCTGAGGAATTCTGTGCGCAAAGCAGAAAAAATGATGGCTCTCTGTGCTCCAATGTAAAAGTGACACTCCATTAGAGAGTCTGAGGCTTCAGGGCTCCCAGCAGAAATTAAACCACAACTTTCCATTTGCCATGCAGAAATCAAAAAGAAACAAACTTTTTTGTTTTTGAAAGCAACTGCTTGGGTGAGCAATGATTTTATTGTGCTATTAATATGATCATAAACAAGAACAACATGTGTTTATAGGCTCAACTGCTTCATTACTCACTCGCTGACTTGGTAAAAATCACCGTGGCATCAGTATAAAGTGCAAAATAGAACAGATCATTGTAGTCATGTTGTAAAATCATCTGGGCAGCTGACCTTTGAACAAAGGCAATTGATAGCTCTGAGGCAGCTGTACAACAACAGTAAAGATAATAGTTGTCCACAAGCCACCAGACCTGTAGGAGAGCAAATACACACCATGCCTGGGAAGAGGAGAGAGCACCAAGGGGACTGAGAAAGGTTTGGGAAAAAGAAGTAAAAGATCTCTGAAGTGCACCTGCGAATCAGCCTTGTTTGGGGATGGGGCAGGGGGGGCTGAGCCTGGTCTCAAGAGGTGGCGATGGTTCTGGGCAGGCTCCCCGACCAAAGGCAGCTCCTGCCCGCTGGCTGGAATCAAGCAGGGCAGGACAGCGGGCACAATGTGGGAAGCCCGTAACCTCCAGATCAGCTGGGGGGGGTCTGGTTGTCCCAGACCTCAGTTTTGGGTCCGATCTCCTCCATTGCTGCCACCCCAACCATTCAAACTCCTGCAAACGTGCGGGCTGAGCTGGGCCGTGCAACCAGGTGCCCAGAGGCTGTAGGAGCAGGATTGAGGATGTAGCACGAGCTGGGAAGACCCAAACTTTCCCACTTATTCCCACCTATTAGGGCAAATGCTCCTCTTTGCCATGTAATGAGGGGTACAAAGGGACGTGGACCCCCTAGGGAAGGTCTTCAAAATGGCAGGTTGGGAACATAGTGGTTGGAAGGTGCATGGTTCTCTCTGGATGTGACTGCTGTAAGGCTGGGACCTGCACAGGGTGAGCTTTTTGGGGTGCTGGCTCCTCTGGAGGTGCAAGGACCAGGAGGAAAGGAAGCCTCCCCTCTCCCGCAGGGCTGTGCAGACGGTGTTGCCTCTCCCCTTAGGGCAGAAGTCTGCGGGGATGGCTCCTGCCTTGGGGATGGGAGTGAAAGATTGGAAGACACCCCCAAGAAATGAGAAACCAGCGTTGTGGACGACGCCATCCAGCAAGCATAGGGAGTGAGCGGGAAGGAAAAATTACACACGTCCCGGTTGTTTCACTTCTTGTCCCTCTGCCTCATTTCGTCAGCCACCAGCCCCTAGAGCATCCCGACGCCCGGTCGACAGTTACCAACAGGCAATAAATAAAACTGCTGGAGCCACTGGTGTCAACATCTTGGCATTGTTTGGGTCTTCTTGTTTGCCTTTAAAATAACTCTCCCTCTCGGGGTCACGCAGACGAAAAAGTGAGGACCCCCTGCCACCGTCCGTAGAAATCATCTTGCCACAACTTGTGTTGCGCTGCCTTTTTTTTTTCGCCTGCAAAGCCCGGGGTTTGGGGAGCTGCCTGGGAGCATTACTCACGCTACACCCAGGGCTCCTGCTCCCTCCTGCCCGCCCGAGTCCCAACATGTCACCTTGGGTGCCTGCACATCATCTGAGCCAGGGCCACTTCACCCATTTTCCTAATGCCCGGAGGCACAGTTTGGGCTGGATTTGGGGACAGTGTCACCCCGCCAGCCCTGTGCTGCTGCTTATCTGCTGCATGGCTGCGTCCGGCTCTGCTGCGGATGTTGGCAGGCCAAAGAGTGGAAAAACAAACGGTGGAGACGTGGATCCGCAGCGAGAGCCCGGCCATGCAAACACGGTGTGCCGCTGCCGAGCCCAGCGCTGGAGGGATGCCCAGTGACAGTCCCTGCCCGGGCACTGGAGCTTGGCATGATGCAAGCTGCTAATGAAGCTCTGGAGGCACAAGAAATAGTCCGCCAAAGACAGTTTTCATCCATGGGGTTCGATAAAAGGGTGACTTGGACCCCTCCATGCCTGCACAGGGCTACGTTGAGGGACCAACCGCTGAGCTATGGCAGCACTGGAGGGGACCGATGCTCCCCAGTACCTGGAGCATCCCCTTTCCTCCAGTAAGAGTTGCATGATGGAAAGCGTCGTCCTCCATCTCAGCCGAGTTGCAACTTGATGTCAGATTCACTCTCCCTCATCATCTTTAGCCTGTTGTTTATAATAAAAATCAAGCGATTCATCTCTTCTGACAAGAGGAAGAGTTGCTCCAGGAAGCCCTGGACAGGTCAACTTCTATATTAAGGAACTATTACTTGACGGCTTCCTGGCCATAAATAGCCGTTCAGCCAGGCTGGGGATTTTATTTAGAAATAACAAATAAAGCAGGCCATAGAAGTAACTTCATGACCTTGCTCCCCCTTCATTTCCTACCCATCTCCCCACCTCGGTATGGTCTTCTCACCCCCAGGCTCCTTGGGAGCTTCAGGACCCCCTTGCATGCCCCCAGAAGAGCATCTCTCCCCATCACCCACCTCCCTGGGGCAGCTCCAAGAAGCTGTTGAGACACGCTGTTGCCAGCTTTTGGAAGTGTGATGTAGGTTTTGCATCACTGACCATCTTTTGCTACAGCTCAGCTCCAAGAAATTATTTTCTGCTTGGCTTTTGTTAAAATAATTAAAAAGGAATGTCTGCCCTGCATGGCTGAAAACTGGAAATCCTCCATTCAAAACATCCCCAAAGCTGGATGCAAACAAATATACCTCCAAGACATCCTTTATTTTTCAGTCCCTCAAACCTTTCTCTTAACTTTTGGAGGACTAACTTCTGATTTTCTAATGCTCAGAGTTGGCGATATCAAAAACAATCAGGAAATACAAAAGAAAAACAGCATTTCGGTATTCTTTTATTATTGGGAGGTTTTGACCATTCTTGTCATGTGTTTTGCCTAAAATAATATTCAAAAAATCTTTGTTTGGAGCTGGAAAGGGAAGAGCAGTGTGTTTATTTCATGTATGACTCATCAGCTCAGTGTTGATATGCTAAACGCTTCAGAAGCTAACACTCTATAGAGATGATCGTTTTTAATATAAAACAGTAAATGTTTAAAACAACGGTTGCTTTTTTTTTTTCCTCTTTTCTTCCTGTTGTGGCCAATAAAACATAAGGGAGGCCACACAGTTTACATTTTAATAAAATTAAGTTATTTGGTGCCATGTTATTACAGTCTTTATTGGAAAGTGGAATAAATTGCACACAGAGGAGTCATAGGAGGGAGAAATCACTGCGAATAAACATAGATTCTGGGATGCATTTATTTGCTGGTTTCATCTCAAAGGAGGAAGGCTTTCCCCGGGAAAACGGAGGCGGCCCTGGGGCTCCAGCCTCAGGGAGGCAACCCTGGGTTGCTCCTGCCAAGGATGAGCTTTTTGGGGAGCCGGTGCCAACCCGGTCCCATCCAGCCAGCGTTTTCCATGCGCATCCTCCAAGAGAAACCTGTCCTGTGGCCACGGCTTGACAGCCCACAGTCCCGAAGCGCTGGGGCAAGCCGTCCTCCTGCCCATCGGCCGTTTGCAGGGCCAGCCAAAAACGTTGGTCCTGAGGCTTTTTGCTGGAGGTTGGGGGTTTTCTAGGCAAGCGCCAGGGCACACCAGGAGTCCTGCCGGAGTGGCACGCTCAGCCCGGGCTGCGGGGCCATGGTGGTGGGGGAGAATGTGTAGTCCTCAGGCTCGAATTTGAACTCGCCATGGCTGCTGGCCAGCGCCTCATCCGACTGGCTCTGCGCCTGCCCCGGGGAGGGAAGCAGAAAGTCATTAGAAAGCCTGTTATTAGCCAACGGGTCACTCTCCCCCTTGTCGTAATCTGGTGGTAGGACTAGGATGGATTATGAACAGGGTGGGTTATCCCCGATGCTACTGCTGCCCTTTGGAGGAGCCTGGAGCTGGGCAGGAGGGGTGCTCCATCCCCAGGACCAAGCGAGGAGGACGCATCCTGGGGCCCATCTGCATTTATTTATTGGCTAAACATGTCCAGTTTGGAGATCTCTAGGCGCGTGTATATTTTTTAAGAGCGCAGCACAAATCAGATTTATCGGTTTCAGCCAAAAAACCCTCTCTCCCATACAGCGCCGCTGGCGCTGCGCCAGGAGCTCGGGTGCTGGAGCTGAGCTTCCCCTCCGTGCACGCATGTCCAGCTTGGGGAGGGCTTAGACCCAGCATAAAGATAGTGCTGGGTCAGAAAATTTTGATGTGCGGGTTGATTTAGAGCCATTTTTTTCCTCTGCCAAGACAAAATAGTAACCCGCCCTAAAGAAATTCTCAGGGCAGAAGCACAGCCTTGCAATCTGGGGTCTCTGACAGCATTACAGCTCTGTGAGTGCTGAGTACCTCAGGGCTATAAAGCCCAGATAACGTATGCCCGGGGAGCCTTTTCTTGGGAGCTACATAGGTTTCCACCCTCGGCTCATCCCACCAACTCGACAGGATTGTAACTCCCAGGATTTCGTGGCAGGAGATGGGAATTAAACCCAGCTCTGTGCCAAAGTCAGGTCGCCAACCGATCGCCTCCGCGGCAGCAGAGCTTGGACCTCCCAGTTCACCAGTGCAAGATGGAAGAGCTGATGGGGAGCAAACAGGCTGGAACCCTTCCTGGTCCGCAACGTCTCGGCTCATGCTCCCTGCTTTCCTCGGTCTGAGGCAGTCCATCAGGCTGGGGGCCCCCAATGCAATGAACTAATTGCTTAGCCTCATCAAGGCCCCTCAGGTCAAGCGACGACCGAGGCGCGTGGAGCATCCGCCCCAGCAGGCGATGGCTGTGGGTCCCTGTGCCTTACCTGGGACACTGACACGATGGTTTGTCCGGGATACTGCGAGGTCGCGCTGGGCTCTGACTTTAAAGTGACCGTGCTGTCTGAGTTCGTAATGGAAGAAGGGGAGTTAGTGGCCGAAGTCGTAGACCCTGGAAGACAATTGGTACAAGATGGTGAAGCAACATAGGTGCAAATCTGCTCTAAGAAAATCTGTATTTTAATGGCTACCATCACATCTCATGGCACGACTCTACTGTTGTCTTTCTCCACCGCATCTCTGCCAGGATAAGACTTTGTACTTGGCTGCCAAGATGCTGATGGAGAAGGAGGAGCTGGCCTTTCACAGCCTGGCAGTGCTGGTCCTGGTACAGGCTGAGTGAGCTAATGTTGAATGTGTCGTGATACCTTCCCCTCGACTCTTTAATACACCATTCCCAGCCCCGTTTTTTCCCATTACTCAGTTTAGCCCAGATCTGCTTGAACACGAGCACTGCTGGGCTGGAGCTAGGTGAGATTTCAGCAGTGAGATTTCCCACCCAGCATCCTCCTTCCACATAAGGTCTACATATAAATAGAGGCTCTACATCTAAAGCAATCACCAGGGAAAAAAAAATCACAATATTATTTTCTAATTATGATAATTTCTTGCAGAAGACATGTTGAGGTGAATTGTGCCCCAAGCCCCCATGACAGATTATAGCTGCACTGTACCTGTCGAGGTTTTGCCTTTGGTAATGTTTTTAGGCTTCCTTTTCCTCGTCTGGATGCTTTCCTTTTTCATGGCCAGAGGTCGTGGTACCTTGACATTCATAAAGTTTGGAATCATTAATACTGTATTTTACTCAGCTCCTTCCCACACACGTGTTGCTCTCCTATTTACATGCTGTAGCTCATGCAAAGCACCTAAAGTCCTTGTCCTTCACTAAGTTCTATTTTTCTCTGCAACAGGCCTTGGCTGGAAGATGTATAAGGCTAACAGCTAAGGCTTTCCCACAAATTTTGTTTTTTCCTTTATTTCCTATTTTCCTTTTCCTGATTTATTAGTGACCTTTATGACAGGACCCTATTAAATTACACTGACAGACTGAGAGCCTACATGGCTCAGAGGGAACGGTCATGGGATAAAGAGACTTTAACCTTTAGGCAGAAGTTTGCAGAGGCCTGTATGGAGGGATGAAGTCTCCTCTTTGGCTGATGGACATGTTACCAACAGTTCCCATCCTCAGTGGATAAAAGTTATCAGCCAGCCTTCACGAGGACTCCTTAGCATCCTTCACACATTCTTAATGACCACATCTAGAAAAATATGCTCCTTGTTTCCAGTCTGGGCTTGGGGAGCTTCAGTCTCCAGCTACTGGAGCTTGGTAAGCTTTCTTTTTGGCGAGTAACTTGGCAAACAACCTAATTAAGAACCACCCAGCGCCAGAAATCTCTCCTCTATGCAGGTACCTCCTGAGAGTGTTCCAGTACCCCCTTAGCCTTATTCTGGAGAACCTTAGTAGACTGAGCTTTTCACTGTTCAAGGAGTCAGGATTGGGTTACGGCTCTCCTGGGTCCAGTCTAGAGGCTGGTCCCTCCAGACCCAATATCCCGGACCTGCCAGGCGGTGATCCCAGCACCCAAAGGGTCCCTCCCGGTGCGGACGCGCTCCTCACCCCGTGGAGCTTCATGTACAAGCCGCAGGCGTTGCAGACGGGCTCCCCTTCGGCGTTCCTTCTCCAGAGGGTGGTATTGGTTGTGTGGCAGTTAGTGCAACATAGGCCAGCACGTCTAGATGAAGACTTCAAAACAAGCAAACAAACACGTGAGTGCACACATAGGAATGATTAATTGGGAAATTTCCTGTCATATAAAAAGAAAATCTCCAATTACACCGATTTCCTGGAAAATGTGAAACACACACAAAAGCCAAATTCAGATCAAAGAAATTACATTCAAGTGAGATCACTCTAATTTGCAAGTGCTTTTTTTATTGAGCTTGATAAACCTGGCAAATATCCTCACAGCTCGTTTCACAAACTTCCAGCAAATCTGCTGGAATTGATCAGGACTCAGAGCACAGAGAACTTTCCTCCAGGAGATCCACTCAGATGGAGAAAGAAATGGAAAATGCCAGCCAGGCTTTAAGTGCACAAAGAAAACTCCTCATGCTTTAAGTGAACTCTTCTCTTTTTCTGCACTCAGAACTACCACTAAAGTTAGCAACACCCCAGTTAATCTCTGGTTTAAGACAACTGGAATCAATTGGCTGAACTGAGCAGAACCAAACCGAAGTGGCCCATGACGGGACCAGGGAGGTTATTCTTTGCACGTCTCGCAGATAATCTGTTCTCTTACAGGCTGCAGAAACACCGTGCAAACATTAATTAATGACATATTTTGTGACTGCAGTGATTGCTGGCTCTGAAATGTTAATACTTCCAAATGGAGAATGAAAATATTCTGGCAGAAGCAGCAAACTCATTTCTGACAACGGTACTCCAAGCCACTGGAAAATTCACAAGTCTCTATATACAGACTTGTCAGCTCAATAGGCATTTCATTTGAAAGTCTCTTAACACTAGGTATTGAGACTATTTTAATAAAAGACTTCACTAAGTATAAGATACCAGTGACATAAGTAATATCACAGGCTCTCCACATCCAGGTGTTTGAATATGTTCTTCAGCCTTGAGAAAAATCACTTTGATTCCTCTCAAAGGCAGACAATAGGTGATGCAGGCAGTAGAGAACTCCCTGTTTGTTTATTGTTTCATTATTGCTTGATATCATGACTGAGGAATATGATGGATGAGGTGGGAAGAGTAGGAATAAAAATGAAATGTTTTTACGAAGTTAGCAGTCAAATAAAGATCAGCTTTTGAGTTTCAAGAGACACAAGTGACATGCCCAAGCTTTGATTCACTTGTTGCTCAGCAAAGAGGTCTCAGCAACTATTTGCAAATAACAGCATTGCTTTGGAAATTGTTTCGCTTTCAAGAAATCACCAGGCAAAAATAATAATGCACCGAGGTGTGAGCTGACAAGCCTGGCACGGAGGAGGGGACAGCAATCCTCGTCCCTAATATAGGACATGGTGTCACAGCAAGATCCCGCAGCAGCTACAGAGCTCCCTTAAAGCCTTTCAGCTGCCGGGGCTGTGCTGTTCATCCCTGCAACCAGGAGGGACCTCAGCCCAGATGGGAGCAGAAGGACGTGCCGAGCACCCGATGGGTGCAACGGCTCTGGGGTCCAGCTCCTGCCACGGGTGCAGAGGGGAATTTGGAGGCACTCAGCCCTGGGGTAACTGTGCCCGGCGTGGACTGGTGAGATCTGTCATCGCCTGCGGATGGAGGAAGGCCAACGCAAAGCCCTTTGGAAAGCCCCGAGATTTCTGGGCCACTGCAGGTCCCTGGGAAGGAGGGACACACTGTCCCTATTTCATACAACGCTTTGTCCACAGCTTGCAGACGAGGTGGCAATGAGACCTGTGGCTCCGGTGGCCCAAGGGCAATGCCAGCCCCGCCAGAGCTCTGCCTGCCCTGCCAACACTGCCTCGCAACCTGCTGGGGCAGCAGCACGTGCCTTCTGCATCTCCTGCACCTCATACTGTGGGGTGCCTCCTCCTCGTACAGCTAGGGAGAGCAGAAACCATCCTCCATGACCAAATATTACAACTGAAACCCCACGAGAACCTGGCCCTGCACCACAACCTGCCAGCTTAGCAAGAAAGAGACAGTCAAGGCTACTGTTGCTCACTGAAGGACGAGGGTACAATACATTATTGCTGGTTTCCCAGCAGTTCCCTTAAAAGAAAATGCATTTCTGCCTGCCTCCACCCAGCTGCCTTTGTACCATTCTGACCTTGTCTAGGAAGTTGTTGACTTCAACATTGTGCTCCAGTGTTTATTTATACAAATGCAGCATACACTCAAACAAAAACTCTTCACGGACCCGGCTTGACAGCCAAGTGCTGCTGATAAGCTCAAGGAATGGTAAGTTGGTGCCTATCAAATCAACTGTGTGTGAGCGCTGCCTGGAGAGCCCGAAGAATTCAGAGCCAGCAGGGCAGGTCCTTCCGAGGGAGCCCAAAGCCATCAGAGACTTTGCTTCACCTCCTTTTCAGAGGTGGAAATGAAACCACAGGCCTTCACAGGAAAAAAAGAAGCCTCTGAACCCCCAGATTCAATCAGTGCTTCTCTGTTCCCCTTGCCAGCAGGACAGAGGGGACCTAGTGTTGATAGGAAAGAGGCTGCAGCAAAGTGTGCTGAGATACCCGAGCTCAGCTCCTGCAAACCGGCAGATCCGAGGCTCGGGACTAAAGGCGGCAGCATCCTCTGAGATTTACCTTTGTTACCATGGCTCTGGGCAAACCTGCACCTTGGAGGATGGGGGAGCAGAAGGAACTGATGGCCAACAGAAAGCTAAGGCACACACCATGAATGCTGCACGGTTCTACGGTCCTGTTAGATTGTCCCAGGGCTGTGATCAGTCCCATCCCCACCTTGCCCAAAAGTGGCACCAAATGCACTATGCATTGCAAACTCTGAAAAAGGACAGGCTGAAAAAATACCCCCTGAGCCAAACCAGCAAAACTCAGCTCCAGGTTAGTCCTTCAACTCGAGATGGTGTGGGAGCTGCTGAGCATCTGCCCCCCTGTGCTGGACCGCGCGGTACAGCTCTGCTCCTAACACGGGAGAATTGCATGCGCAAGGATGGAGCCATCCACCTCCATCGGCTGCTCCTGGATGGTAAAAGTGACTTGGCTTTTAGAATTGGGTCTAAGGTATCATCTTGTGAAACGTGCCAAGAAACTTTGGCTAGAAAAGATACTGCCTAAAATAAAGCGCTGCCTCCATCCTCCTCTAAGATAAATCCTTTTTGCCGAAAGCCGCAGTGCTTTGAAGCCAGACGCAGGCTGTAGCAAAACGGCTGTCCCTGCTGCGTAGAGGATGTTGCCCTTATGTCAAAAAAAAAGCAACAAAAAATGAACTGGAAACTACACTACTATTGCCTGCTCTCTCCCACGCACAAGCGGGCTGAGCACTACCGAGCTGCAGGACATCATTCCCGCAGTGTTATCTGGGCCACATTGCGTTCTCCAGGGCTTTCAGTGGGACTTTGCTTTGTGAAAACAGAAGTCAGAATAACTCCCAGCGTGGCATCTACTTACAGAACAAAGGTCGTAACGTAAAGGACAAAAGCAACCATTTTTCCTTCCCGTGTCTGTATTTCACCGTATTGTGAAACAGGCGATTTCATCGCTCCTAGAGCAACGGTGTGTCACCGCGTTCACTGCTCTGCTCCCACCCAGCCCGTACGGGTGGGGTTATGAGCAGGGAAGACATCCCCCACCATGGGAATCATTCGGGGGAAGAAAAATCCCAAGCCACAGGGGTGCAGGTCGCTCCCTCGGTGGTGGATTTGCAGAGTATGCCTGGCACCCTCTTGACCATCACCAGTGGATCCCCCTTCCTCTGATGGGGCAGAACTTGTTGCAACATGACATTTCAAACCCTTGGGAAAATCCAAGATTTTGAAATGTTTCATTCCAAAGTCAGGATGGAAAGGCACAATTGCAGCCCTTTTCCTAATCCATAAAATAAAATCCCCTCAAGTATTTCAACCTTATTGAAACGTTTCCCGGGAAAAAGAATCAGCTCTTTCATCTGGGCTTTATCATTATAGTATTGATTACCAAAATAATAGTATAAAAGGTTGGAAATGCTTCAAGATTTGCTCATCCCTGGGAAACGGTCTTAATTCTGCGAACGAGCGTTCTCCACCGGAAAACTTTGTTGAAATGTTTGCCGAAAAATGCCTCACAGGTGCTACGTACAGGGCTCTGCCAGCAATGACAGAGGAGCAGGCAGGGAGCTCGGGGTTCCCAAGTGGGGTGCAGGCAGCGCAAAACAATCTCCCTTCCCATGCGCTGAAATAAAATACTCAACAGCAGCAAGACCTCTCCAATTCCTTTGGGGAAAAGCTGTTCAAAAAAAAAACCCCTGGAAATTCATCCAGCACCACATTTTGATACCAGTCTGAAATTTAAACTGGTTTGCACCTCTCTCTCTCTGCACGGCTGGTATTTGCTCTGAAGAAATCAGCAGCGTAACTCTGAGATTTGCAGCGCAGCAGCGACCAGAACCCACTGCCGGGGTGCAGATTTAATGTCATTACATTAAAGGAGACCAGGAGGGGTTTGGTGAGGCAGGCAAATCCTGTCAGATAATGCTAAATGTTTCACAGAAATGCCTCGATTTTGATGCGATGAACAAAATGGAGAGATTTTCCACGGAGCCGCTGCTCATTTCATTTTGCAAATCCAGAACCAGATTTCTGGGACCAGAATCAGAATGAAACGTCTTGCTCAATCCCAGCCTTCTTTTTTTTTTTTTTTTTTATGGTTTTCTTACACAGAAACTCGTCGCTGTTGGATTATTGCTAATAATTTGTTTTGCAATGTAGAAAAATAACTGCTGGAATACACCCTGAGTGAAAGCAAAAGGAGCTCCCAGCTGTTCCCCAGCACGGCTCCAACAAACATCCTGTTTGTAATGACGGCTTCTGATGACAGGCTCTGAAACCAAAACTGTTACCACCAAATTTAAACATCCCAAAGCGACGCTACAAAAAAAAATCCGAGGCGCCTTTCCTCTCTCACGATGGGATCCCAATTGGAGGAAACCCAATATCACACTGAAGGGGGGTGTGTGTGGAATTAACCTGCAGAGAAACCGGGAACTACCAAACCCCAAATTTCCTTCTTTGGCAGGAGGGTGAAGGCAACGGGGGAACTGGGCCTCATCCTGCTCCCATCGCGAGCAGCTGCAAACCTGCCTGGGCCAGCTCAGGATCAACCCTGTCTGCTGTTCTACTACCCTGCCTAGACCATGTGTGGCTGCATGAAGAACTAGGAAATAATAATAATTATTATTGAATAAAAAGCAACAGGCTTGCTGTGGGAACGGAGCCGGGGGAAGCCCACAGAGCCGTGGGCCGCAGGCAGGGCTGATCGGTCCCCCGTTCGGCTGCGGTTCAGCCCCTCCGTGCAGTCCCGAGACCCCTCCGGTCCCGGCTGCCCTGTCTCCGTGCTGCCCACCAGCCATATCGGGGCAGCAATCCCTCTGGATTCGCTCTGCTTCTCCTGACCCCAGCAGGCTCTACACCGCAACAAGGGGCTCCTGCCAGCGCCGATGGCATTTTATTTTTGGCAGGACCGAGGGTCAAACAGGCCCTAAGACAAATACAGAGACCCCCAACAACGTGGGGACCGTGACAGCCCCCCGGTTCCTGCCCTCCAGCCACCCCCTGGGTGAAGCAGGGGATCCCTGTGGGGTTTCCCCCTCTTACCAGCCTTTTCTGCGGCTTGAGCGGCCGGTTGATGCCGTTCATTTTGTGGTAGAGCCCGCAAGCGTTGCACAGGTAGTGCCCGGTGCCATCCTTCCTCCAGAGCGGCGTGGACATGGCCCCGCAGTTCACGCACTCCCGGCCGTCCCCGGGGAATTCCTCCAGGTACTCTGGAAGAGATATCCAAGGTGTGCAGGTCAGGAGCCGTCCCCACCGGACAGGGTCACCCAGGGCCGGGCTGCCCACGGGGACCCTGTGGGACAGGGTCCCTAATTCTCTGTGCCCCACTACTCCTCTGCGAGGTACAATCTCTGCCCTGGGGGGGAGTTTACCTCCACCCTACAAAGTGTGGACCAAACCCCTTTATTCCCTCCACACCTTAATCTTTTAATATTTTGCTCAAAGGCTGCGTATTCCCCCATCCTTTCCCCAGAAGACCCCAAAGGACTGAGCGTGGCCGGGGTCTCCCTGGGATGGGAGCGGGCAGGGAACCCATCAGCAGGAGAGCGCAGTGTTATCCCTGCACCGGGCGCAGTCCAGGTTGCAAAAATAAATTGGAGAGGGGAGCAAAATGGGGCGATTTTCCTGATTTTCCATCAAGGAGCGTTAGTCGCGGGCCAGTGGGAATGATCCGGCTGGGGAAGGGCTCGGGGCTGCCCATGGAGCAAAGCCGGGCTGGCAGCCGCGGGGCGCCCGGGGGCTCCCCGGGAGAGCATCACCGGCCAACCGCGGTCCCAAAGCCCTGCTAGAGAGGCTTTTCCTCCCTTCTGTCCCCCTCCCGAAAGCTCCGGGAAGAAGCCGCGGAGCCGGCAGCTCCGAGCACCGTCCCCGGTGCGTCTCTGCCCCGAGCGCGGCTCCGCGGTAAACGGGCAGCCCGGAGCAAAACCCAGAGACCCCTCGATCGAGAGTCGGTGTCTTTCCTCCTGCCGCTTTTTTCTCTCTTTTTGAAATAACTTTCTCCGCCTGGAATGTTATTTTCTTCCGAAGAATACGCGCTTTTTAAAAAAAAAAAAAAAAATCTTCGATCGTATTAATAATGATCCAACGGAAAGAGATAGGGAAAAGAACAAAAATTAAAAAGGGGCAAATAGAAAATAAAAATAAAATGTAAAAAGTAAAAAAAGAAAAAAGTTGCAATAATTCATTAAATGAAAAAAGAATAGTTTACGCTACTTAAGAGCGGTTTACACTATTCGAGAGCAAAAATAAACGGCAGAGAGGACGGCGGTCACTGTTCCGGGTCCCAAACTACCAAATTCAAAGCGCAAAAGTGATTTCTGCGCCATCACCTCCCTCGGCAGGACCGGGACGATCCCCTCCCGCACAAACAACGGCTTTTCCCAGACAAAGAGAAAATCCTGGAAAGAAACCGCTCCCGAGCCCCTCCGGCGTGGGAGGAAAAGCCGAGCCGGGGAGGCAGCTCGGTGGGGAGGGGGGGGGGGATGTTGCTTCCCTGGTTTAACTTTGTTCTTGGGGTAAAGATAAGATAATTCGGTTCACCGCAGTAAAGATGATAACGCGGCTGAGATCTTGAAGTGGCTTTTAAAGGACTTTGCAAACCACCGCCGGAGGAGGATGGTGAAATACCCGCGGGGTTATAAACCCTGCGCACGGAGAGTCCTTTTAAATCAAGTCCCAAACTTTATTTGCCCGGGGCTTGGTTTAAAAGGACTCTCCGGTGTGGATGCAAACGAATGGAAGTGAGGTTTATTGTTCAACGCCTGAGTGCGTTTCAGTGTCTCTCCAAAGGCCGCGGAGCGATGCAGCTGCGGAGCTCTTCGGGCGAAGGCGAATTAGGAGCCCGAGAGTCTGTTCAAATATAAACTCATTTACCACAATAAATTACTTAAAAGGGAGGGAGCTATAAATCTGCCCCGCTAATTTAAACAACAAGGGTAAGTATTGAAGCACAGGCACAAAGTCGATATTGTGGGAAGGAGATATCGGGGGAGTAGAAGGGGGGAAGGGATTGAACGGCCTCTGCTCCTCCGTCCTGCGGGGGAATTGCTCTCCTTTGAAACGTGGTCTTTGCCCTTCGTGTCACACCCCCCCACGCCCCCCCCCACCTCTGTCCAGGGTCA